TGTTTGGGTAGGCGTTTGGCAAAGAATTTAAATTGCCACTCGCGACACCTGCATCCTGTACCAGAACGTCTGGGTTTAAGTGCCTTCTGCACTGCCAAGTTCAGCTTCCCAATAATGAACACCTTCAGAGGGAGCAGGTGATGGGAAGTAACAGGAACTGCCTACTGCCTCCTGTGTGCAAGACGCAGATTGAATTCCAAGCTCCCGGCTTCAATGTGGCCACCGGTCCTGGTCCTAAGAGCATTCTGAAAGCGAGTGTAGTGTTTTGTTTGCCCTCTCTCCACTTTTAAAATGAAAGAATAAATAAATGCAGAGTATTCAAACCATTACACTAATTATAAATAACAAGTTTTATATTCTACTTGAAATTCAGTTTAAGGAAAGTTTTTTTTTTTTTTTGCTGAAAATAACATTATAGATTGCATTCTCAAAATATTGATTTATCTTTAGCCAGCTTGTGAAACTGAATTATTAAACTTTTTTTTAAAGGTTTAGTTATTTTTATTGCAAAGTCAGATATACAGAGAGGAGGAGAGACAGAGAGGAAGGTCTTCTGTCCAATGATTCACTCCCCAAGTGACTGCAATGGCTGGTGCTGCGCCTATCTGAAGCCAGGAGACAGGAACTTCCTCCAGGTCTCCCATGTGGGTGCAGGGTCCCAAGGCTTTGGGCCATCCTCCACTGCTTTCCCAAGTCACAAACAGGGAGCTGGATGGGAAGCACAGACACTGGGATTAGAACCGGTGCCCATATAGGATCCTGGCAAGTACAAGACAAGGACTTTGCCAGGCCCTGAATTATTAAACTTTAAATATCCTCTTACCTCTATTGTTTTCTCCACCGTGGTTCAAGAGAGATAACTAAAGCATTTATTTCAACAAAGATCCTCTCTTATTCCATGACAAGCCTGTACTGGTCATCCTAAATTCTACTTTTCCAAAATTGAGATATGTTATAGAGAAAGACTGGAAATATTAAGTTGATAACAATGATCATGTAAGCCTGTTTGGGGGGGATATTAAAATTAAAAGCACATCAAACTATGTTTACTTTCTTATTCAGATTTTTAAAAGTACTTGTTACATAAGCAATACTTCTCTAATTTAATGACACATGCTAGACCTTGACTAGTAGATATGGTAAAAAAAAAAAAAATCAACGTGAAATTTTAATGTTTGTATGCCTCCCAATGCTTACGATTTAAGTTTAGAGCAAAACTGGCTAAATTGAGTCTAAGCCAATTGAGTATAAAATTACTTTGTGAAACAAAATTTATTCACTTCTAGTATTTTTCTGAATCTTTTTTAAGTGATAAACATTTTGTGTAAGTTAACCAAAAGGAAATTTTAGTTGCAAAGAAAATAATGTATATAGTTATTCTGAGAACTTAAAGGAGGATCTTTTAAGAGAGATTAATCACAGAAATTTCTCTTGAGACTATATCTTAGTCTTGATATGCTTAAGTCCCAAATTTTACTCAGCACTCAATTTTGACATCTCTCCTGTATTTTTAGAAAGACTGTCCTTAAATGGACCTGATGTATAATACCCCATTTCACTGTGAACAAAAAAAAAATAGACTTGAAGGTCTTGTGAATTATTTCATGTTCCTAAGGCCATTTGCAAACCCATTAAAATGTGCTGTTTCCCGGCTCCATGGGAAGTCTTTAACTCTTACCCCTCCAACACTGGTTCATGACATCACATCCTTTCCTGCAGCTTCAGAATTTTCCTGCATTGTGAATTTGCCTCATTCACTGATGTACTTTCTTGACGTTGTCATTCACAGACCCTTGGCGCCTCTTAACAAACATTTCCAAGCCTCTACTCTGTGCATAGCATGTAAGGAAGAAAAACACATAGAGGGCAAAAGTCTTTCTTCCACACAGGCAGAGATCTATGATCAAAATATTTGAAATATGTAAATAATAATAAAAATAATTGCTGAACTGTGGAAATTCAGAATAAAAATAGTATATTGACTCAGATATTTTTGCTAATTGCAAGTTCCTAATTTTAGTTCCATTTAAAAAGATATGTATAATTTCTCATAATATGCTTCTTAGGCTTTGTGGAAATAATAAAAATATAGACAACTTTAAAAGGTAAAAAGGTTGTTATTTGCTATGAGAGTTTGATGGTGTACATGACTTTAGTGAAATTCAGTAACTTCAATGGTTTTTTTAAGAATAACAGAGTTGAATTGAACAGAATTGAACAGAGTTTTAAATTATATTCATGTCCCTGACACACGGTAAATTCTGTTCTAAACAGCAGATAAAAGCCAAGTCCAAATAAAGTGTTGGCCATCCAAAGGAAGCATCATTTGCTTTCCAGCCTTCCACACAGATGAACCACACCCCCTTCTTTCATGGTCTTCCACAATACATTCAGAAATCACACTTTAAAAAATATTTCAGTGGGCTATCAAGACGCGTGTTTCCCAGTTCCTTTAACAAAGTCACTGGAAAAAGAGTCCGGCTTTAGTTCCTCTAAGGGGAAACATTGGCAACACTTGTTTAAAGCTAATATTGAACTTGCCATTTGATTTTTGTCTTTTATTTTCCTTTATGTAAAATAAAATCAGTAAGAAACATAAGTCATTTGTGTAAAATACAAACAATAGTTCGTTGTTAGCATTTAAAATTAGATATACAATGACAATATTTGGAAGCTTCTGTGAGGGGAGAGTTCACAGCCAATCACTAAAAAAAATAAGTTTTCAGTATAGGTCTCTATAGAGAATATAATTTAACAGAATGCAATATGTTCCAATCTATGTAATGAGCATTATTTGAAAAGTGAGTTCTTCTTATTTCTAGTTGTCTTTTAAATTCACTGAAAATCTTACAGATTTTATTTAGTTACTTAATGGAAATAAAAATTCATAACAAGTCCAATTTGGCTACTACTGGATAATTAATTCATCAGCAAGGGACCCCATAGGGTCTAACTTTTTCTGCTCTACAAATTATGATTTGGGGCTTTTTATTCTCCCCTCCCCCCGCCCCAACTAAAAAAGCAAGGAATTTTCATCTACTTTGTAAAGGATCACCCACTTGATTTTTCATGCCACTAAATACCCTATGAAGATGCATGAGTAATACAGAACACATTATTACTCACTATGCGCATGTATTAGATTCAAAATCATATTCAAACTAGTTGCACTGTTTTGATTGATCACCGGCTTGGTTTATTTTAAATAAAATCATAGAACTTATTTGGCTAGTGATTATCTGGAGGGGCACTAATTAATCAGCCCAAACCATTGTAAAAATGAAAAATTTAGATAAGAGTGGTGCACTGGTAACACAGAGGGCAAAAGAAAGAAAACCAAGCTTTTCTTCAAAAAATGGTGGTAGTCAGTGTTTGCTCCTGGGCTGAAAAACAAAAGAAAACACAAAATAAAAGGACTCATTCACCCCTTCTTTGGGATTCTTTACCAACCACGCTTGGTGGGATTTGTTCTGCACAAGGAAAGGCCCGTCTGTGAGACACCTGCGTATCTGACAAGTATGGACACTCTTGCCCACACTGTATAATGAAATAAATATATTAGGAAGGCCATTTCCCTTTCATTTCAGCCAGGGCATCAGAGATGGGTTACTTAACATTCAAGTGCCAGAAAAGCCCATTGTAAAAGGGAAATATTTTTAAAGTGAATTCCGTTTGATCTCTCTCTGTGTCTCTCTCTCTCTCTCTAAATTTTTTTTTTTTTAACAGGGGCTCCTACCAGCCTCTTTCCTTTCCTCCCCAGACCTTGGAAACCAATTAGTTTCAGCACAGACCAGTTTGAAATGGCTCCCTTTTAATTTTTAGGGGATACAGTTTCAGTCAGGCTGTCTGGTCAGTTGTCACACTGTATACTTAACACACTTCTCTCTTGCACACACTTAGACTGGATTTCCCATTGGAGAATACACAGATCTTTAACTGTGACTCCTGGAAAGAAATTAGATCGAGTTGCTGGCCAAATCCTTCGGCGCTGACAATGGCACAACATCACAGGCCACCTCATTCCTCACACACAACACAGCCAACCAAGTTTTCCAAAAACCTCCTCGTCCTTGTTTCCTGACTTTCAGCATCTTCACATCTCTCCCTTTCCTTCCGTTGTTTGCATACAATTCTTCTACCTCCCAAAGAAGCAGAGAAAAGCCGGCTAACTTTGAATTTTCCAATGTTTTTGAAGTGTTTGTCTTTGGGGGGTGAAGCGGGGGAGGGATGTGTACGAATACTAAAAAAATAAATAGATAGGCAGATGAAGGAAATAATGAAGAGTGTTTGCCTCAGTTCATCTTCCTGTCCTGAACCTGCCTTAATTCATGGAGGTGAAAGAAACCATCAGCTTGGTTGGCCTTTTCTCTCTCGGAACAACATTGCAGACCGAAAAGAGGTGAGGTGTGTGCTGCCTTGGAGGGCTCCGGGAGGAACCGAACGCAGAGCTGCCCTACGAAAACCTCCGCTCAAGGATGGGAGGCAACCTAGGGTCGCCCTCCGAGGTCTGGGCGAAGCGCCCCAGCCTCTCCTCCTTGTCCCCGCAGCCGAGTTCTGCGCCTTGGAGCAGTGCCAGGACCACTGACAGCGCCTGGCAGGTCGATGGGTGGGGGGCCTGGGTGTTTCTTTTGCAGAGTCCGCCCATCTGGGGGGACATTTCCTTCATTTTCCAGGGACTCCGTGGCCCGTCCCCCAACCTCCGCATCCCCTATCTTTTTTTTTTTTTTTTTACGCCGATCACACATGATGAACTTGCAGCTCAGCTTCCTGCCGCCTGCTTGACCCGGGAGCACCAGCAGGCTGCCGGCCTCGCCCTTGGCTGCCTCCTCCTCTCGAAGCCCTGGGGCCTCGGGGAGCCAGTGGGGGTTCGAGAGGGCCAGGCCCGCAGGAGGGGGCGTGCAGGGGGTGCGGGGTCCCGCCGGGGAGCGCGCACGGAGCGGCGCCTCGGTCGCTCAGCTTCCTGGAGCTCTGCTCCTTTGACCCCAGTGGCAGTCCCTGTCACTGCACCGCTCGCGCTCCCTCCGGCTCGCCGCGCCCTCGCTCCCTCTCCTCGCCCCCTCGCTCGTTCTCTCCCCACAACGAGGCTGTCGGGGGTCCTTTCTTACTTCCCCCCCGCCTCTCCTCAGCGCCGCGCCCCCGGGTCCCCGCCCCAGCCCCGCGGCGGGACCTCCGGGGTCGAAGGTTCTGGCCCGCCCGCGCCCCTCGTCGCCCCCGCGCGCCCCCAGCGCGCCTCCAGCCGGCTCGGGCCGCTCGGCGATGGATCGCCTGCTCGCCGGGCGCTGAAGGCATCCCCGGGACCCGGAGCGCTGCCCGGGAAAGGTAATCCGCCCCGGGAAGGGAGGCGGAGGGCGGGGGAGGGGGAGGAGGCGGCCGGGCGCCCGGTGCCGAGCGTTAGAGGAAGGGGGAAAAAAATGCACACACAAAGCGGTGCGCGGGTGAGAGGTGCCTTGTCAGAGGCGCGTGAGAGGCTCGGAGGCTGCGGACCGCGGCTGCCCCGGTGCCCCTGACGCTCGGCGAGCGGCCCATTCGGGACCTGGGGAGGACTTCTCTTCCAGCCCCGAGCGAAAGCCAATTCTTTTGGCGGAGCTGTCTTCTCTCCCACTCCCCCATCTTGCCCCCTTTCTCTTCTCCCCTCCCCCTCAGCCTTCTGCACCCCCCGACCTCTTGGGGTCGGCACCTCGCTGACCCCGTCCTCCGCTGGGCTTTCTTCGGAGGGGAGGAGAGGAGTAGGGGTATCCACAAGAGGCTGGGGCGAACGCCGGCCCGTGGAGATGGGGGGGCTGGGGACGAGGACCGGGGCGAGCTGTTTACTAGAAAGTCCCGAGGTTGTATGTTCGAGCCGCGCCGGCCTAGGCCCGGGTGCATTGTGTGTTGGCCCGAGCCCCGGCTGCCCGCGGCGGCCCGAAGCCAGGTGCAGTGTGGCTGGGAAGGCGCCGCGCAGCTTTGTGCTCCGGCTCTGCGCTCCGTAGCCACCCCGAGCCGCCTGCGCGCGCGCCGCTCCCGCACGGGGCTTTTTTCTCACCCGGTGCCCGGCGCCCCAACCTCACTCTCCGCCACCGCCTCCAGTCTCCGCTCCGCGATCGCAGCCTGCGCGTGGAGAGACCCGGCGACCCGAGCCCGGGCCGGGAGACGGGGACTGCGCGGCAAGCAAAAAAAAAAAAAAAAAAAAAAAAGTAACCGCTGCCGCCCTATTTCTTCTCTACCGAGGCAGGAGTTTTCTTTACTGTTTGCCTGAAACAAGGTTATCTTTGTCAAGCTTTTGAATTCGGGGTTTCGCGGCCTACCAGGTGAAAGGGGCATCCACCCCAGCCCCGGAGGTTCAAGAGGGGATTGGAATCCATCAACGAGAAATATAAATCAGGGATGTCCCAGTGGGGTTGATTTATTGCACATGCATTCACCCACCCCCCCACACACACCCTAAATTAAGTGCAAATGCGGGTCATGAAAAATGTGTAATTGATTTGAGGTGCTGCAAACAAATGCACACAAATAGGTCAGGGTGGAAAACAAACAAAAACTTAAGTGGCAGGAAAAAAAGCTGCAAGAAAGTGAGGGTGGAGGGACTCCCCCTGCCTCCATTTCTTCTTCCAGCGCTCGCTGGCTCTCTCAGGTCCATCCCCCTTCGCGCTTCGGGCAAGCTGCCTGGGTAGCCGCAGGGCACAGAGTGGGCAGGCTCTGTCTCCGCTCTGTGGGCTCAGGGATGCCAGCGCGCCCAGGAGGCTGACGTCGGGAACTGGGGGCTGTGATGCCCCACCAAGGGTGGCGCGGCGTCAAAGCCTTTAGCTACCAGTGGTCATCAATCCTGCCCGGGGGGGGGGGGGGCTGGGGAGCACGAGAAAGGGGGGGATTAAAAATAAAAGAAATAGAAATAGGCAAGCGCCCAGGGGAACTCGGGGCTGGGAGCGCTAGCGCCGGCTCTACCAGCAGCTGGAGGCGACGGCGGTGGCAACGGGGCACTGGGCGAGAAAGGCTGGGTGGCTATTCCAAGAAGGAAGGGCAACGGAGGCAGAACCCGCAGGCCAAGGGCGGGAGGGTAGGGCGCGCGCACGTGCGTGAGAGAGAGAGAGAGAGAGAGAGACCGACCCCCATCCTCAGCTGCCCACCCCAGTTTTAAAACAAACAAACCAATCCAAAGTGGAGAATTCCCGCGCCCCCCACCCCGCACCGCCCCCACCATATATAGACTCCACGCGTCGCTCGAGGTGCGGGAGAAAAGTCTTGCCCTCCCATTCGGAAAGAATGTGTCAGTCGGGTGTCCGCAGTGCTGGAGACAAGTTCAGGTGTAAGTGCAGAGGGAGGGAGGGAGGCGGGGAGGGAGTGAGGGCTCTCGGTGGACCGAGGCACGTGGACCATCGTGTCAGCATCTTCCCCCACCCCTCGCAACTGTGCTGGAGAAGTCGCCGTCCGCCTGCGAGGCGTGTGGGCTTTGCTCCTGGATTAGAGGCAGGGATGCAAGAGCGTGAAAGAGCAGGGGCGTGAGTTTTAAGAAGGCACTGTTTCTGAGAGGCAGAGGAAGGAGAGAGTGAAATTTGGCAGAGTTGAAGGAGGGGAGTGCTCAAGTTCCTCCAGGCTCTGGGCTGGGCGATCTTCCTGAGATTAGTGGCTAAAATGAGCAACGGTGGTTTAAGGGTAGCGGTGGTGGCAATCGCGGGCTGCTGTCTTTTAGGCTATGCCGGGGGGTGCAAAGGTAGAGAGGTCGGGAGTCCTGGCTTTGAAACTTTGGCAAAATCAGACTTCTGGTGTCTAAGGGGTGGAAACAGACACTTAATTCCTCAGACTGCCAGCCGCCTTTGAAAAGTTTTCCAACTGGATCCCTGGGAAAGAGCATTGCTAGTCGTTTCCTTTAAGGAACAGGAAAGTGATTGCTGTCTAGGAAATGTGAAGTGTGTTCTCCAGTGATTTTGCTTTAAGAGAAAATCAGACTGATTCCAGCGTACAAGTTTGGCAGTGTTTGGTCCTTCTTGGATTTCTGTTTAGGTTTCTTAGGGCTTTGTACTGGATTCTTTTGTTTTCCAGAGTCAATGTGTTGAACTGTAAAAGGGATATTTCAGGAGAGGATACTGCCCTTTTGAAATATTGTGTGTCAAAAGTGAATTAAGTGTGAAGAGGGAGAGATACGCCCCCCACACACGTGAACACTTGGAAGGTTTTACAGCCTAAATATGTGAGGCATGAGAATAAAGCTTCTCATAGTTTTCTGCAGTGTCTCTTTCTGTGGTTTTCAGCTCCCCCCCACCCCCCAGGTTAAAGCAGGTGCCTTTGCCCATTGTCTCCTGTCTGAGAATCAGTAGGGGGATAAAAGAGTATTTTCCATGTAGTGTTTGTGTTTAATATTCTTGGGGTATGTTCATTTGGAGACTTAGGGAGGGGGAGGTGAACACAGCATTTTTTAAAAAATAAACCCTTTCTCGACTTGTCTGCAAAGGTGCTGTGAAAGTTTTGAAGCTCTGTACCTCAGTCTGACATTTTCTTCAAAGAACTCCAGATTAAAGAAGATAGACGCTGCAGGTGCACTGTTTCGATAAAACATTTGAAAGGGAACATGGCAAAGATGAATTCAAATGAGCCACCTAGTTAGCCCTTCGAAGTTACAGGGTGCTTGCCGGTGAAAGGATGTTCTGTTTGGATGGATGGAGCAGAGGTGCAGAGAGGCACAGATATGCTCACTGCTAGAGTAAGTGCTTGGCAGGTTGACGTTAGCATGAGGGGACCTCTTAGGACGGTGCATTGATCACCTTTTAAATTTGATGTCTTCTCTGCTTGCCTTGAAAGAACTTTAGAGCGTATCGTGCCAACTACAACTACTTACTGCATAGGTATTTAAGTATCAGACATGTGTGTTTTGTTTGTAGAATTCACTCCAGCATCATTCAAATCCTTCCCGGCATCAGGTGCAGAGATTGTTACCCAGAGGTCAAGGTGATCTGGACAGGAATTGAGTTTCCTTTGCTTCTGAATGTTCCGTGCTGCACACAATAGACATTGATGGAAGGAACATAAGAAATGCCAAGTAATTTTTATACGGTTCTCTAATTTATGCGAACACCAAGTTCTCTCATAGTCTGAAGAATGTGTATTTTTCCCCTCTGTGCTTTGATGGCTAACATTCTTTTTAATGACAGTCATTTCTATAACAGGAAGATGTTTTCATTTGTATTTACTTTTCAGCGCCACGCAATTATGCAGTTTTGCGCTTCAGTAGTGTCTCGGTACTTTGTGTCTCAAAAGAGAATTACAGTACTTAGAACAGGGCTGCAATTTGAAGCAGGTGTTGTGTTTTACTGTTATGCAAAATAACAGTAAAATATAATTGTGGGGGAAATTAAGGAAACAGCTGCAAACTTGGTATGAAAACTGCCACATTATGATTCGCAAGCAGTTCTTACAGATATCTTACATCAGAGGAGCAGGGAGTGATTTTTAATTTAGTTAATCCTACTGGCCTGGTTGTCTACCAACTGGTGCTTAAAGGACTTCTACCTCCCATGAAGTCTGAAAGAAGAAAGAGAACCCAATACTTTGCTTTAAAATACCAGATTTTAAACACTGGGGATTCAACTCTTGGCAGTTCAGTTATAGGTTAGGAACACAGGCAAGGTAGATGTTGTTTAGCAAGCTTTGCTAATATGAAGATGGCAATGATTTGAGTAGAATGCTGTGGAATTTCTTACCCCAGCTAGCATATGGAAGACTATACAAGCCCCGGGTTGTAAAATAATAAAATAAATGGCCTATGGCAGGCCATCTGCCTTTTGCTCGATATTTAAGGTGTTTCATGCCAAATTTAAATCTAATCTTATTACTCTAAATATTTTTATTTGAAATAGAAGCTAAGATTCCTGGAGCTTAATGGTGCACGTGGCACATGTATTCAGATGCCAAGTGCCTTATCTAAGAGTCTGGATTACTCCAGAAGTGTGTGCTACTCACTATTTCTCTTCTGCACTGATCAGTTTATAACAGCTTCCACACAAGAATTCACTTCTCTCAGTCTTGAGTTATCATACAAATAGATATTGTCATTTCTCAGCCTAGTGTAACAACTAGTATGATGACATTTATAAAAACAATCAGAACTGATGGATATTTTCAAATAAAGAAATCAATGATGAGAATTACTCAGCCCTGAGAATGAGGTGGTAAGTGTAATGGCTGTGTTTAATATTGTTCTGGCAGGTTCAGCGGAAGGGAGGAAATGAACCCATCCAAAGTGGTAGTACCACCATGGCTGTGTTTGAAGGCACTGTGCCACATTTACTGAAAGGATTTGCCTTGTCATAAAGTTCTTGGCCAGAAAGGAATGTATGTGTATACCAGGAATCATGTATTTTGGAAGCTGTTTGTGAAATACAAAGTTGGATTACTGCATTCATATTATGTGCCTGTTTATAGTTCTGTGCAGGTATCTGCTAGAAGCATAGTGTTTTGGGATTACTTTTGTCGTGGTATTGCATGGCTCTTGTAAGCACTGAGATTTCAAATGATTACCTGACACCAACTTTGTAAAACCCAAATGTTCCAATTAGTAGGGATGGTTTGGAAGAGTCTCCACTTTGAGCACAAACCATTTATAGCGGACACCATGGCAACTGAGGATGTGCCCCTTCCCTAATTCACACTAAGTGCCATCATTATAATTAAAGAGGAAATCTTCATTTGAAATCCATTGAGATGATTTGGTAATGCCGAGCAATGTCATGGAGTATAATGTCCACATTGAATGCAAGGAAGGAAGGAAGACAGGAACGGTTCTATCTACAAGGAAATAATACATATTCGTGTTTTTACTGACCTAATTTCATGTCTAGACATCACACTTCATATCGCTTAGAACTGTCTTTCTTTTTCTTCCAGAGACGCACAGTGGTATTGATGAGTAGATCCTTATATTCAGAGGTCAGCTGAAAAGCACCATGCCTGCTTCCATCTTTTGCTCCAGACAGTTGTGAATTGCTCATGCCTAAAGGGAGGAAGGATGGCACATGGGATTCCTTCTCAAGGCAAAGTTACCATAACGGTGGATGAGTATAGCTCAAACCCCACCCAGGCATTCACACACTACAACATCAATCAGAGCAGATTCCAGCCTCCACATGTGCATATGTAAGTATTACGCATGCATTTAAAAAAAAATTAGCAGTAGAGAAAATAAGAACATCCACTAATGATTTCGGCTAGGGATTATAAAAGGTAAATGATTTACAGAACAGATGCGTATCTGGGGTTTCAAATAAAGCTCAGAAGGAGTCCCTTACCTGTGTGTAACACTTCAAGTTTTCAGACCACTATCAGTGATAGGTCGTCTACATTTTGTAGATGAGAACAGAGAAGTTAGGACGGTTGCCTAAAGGGATTACGTTCCACAGTTTCCTGATTCCCAGTGCACTTTGCTTTTTTATTGTGTTACTTGTTTCCATGATAAGACAATTCTTTAAAAATTCTGTGGTTCCTCCCCCCACCCCCCAGCCTCACCTCACCCAGCTACCCCTTTACATTCAGCTGGGAAATAGGCCTAATTGGGACTAATTGTCTAGCTACTGCTCAATCCATTGTCTTGCCTGTTGCAAGCGAAACGCGTGCTGCATGCTGCAGGACTCAAACAATATGAAGAACAAAGGATTAAGGGACAGTGGAACAGTTGGTTCCAGGAATTGCACTTTTATCTCACTCCCTAATACTACTTAGGCCACATCAAGGCTTAAACTGTTTCAGAAACAAAGTGTGGGAGACGCAAGGATTTTGTAGCACCTGGTTGCACACCAACTTTTTTTCTTCTTTGCTCCTTTCCTTCAGGATGTGCTGGGCTTTCAGCAAAAGGGAGCAAAAGGTCACCATCTCTCTTGTTTATTCAAGGTCTGGTGCTTATTCACTCCAATGTCTAACATGAGTCTTTCATGGTAGGACTAAACCTCTTTGAAAACTATTGTTCAGTCAACACAGAAAGGAGGTTAGGGCTCTGTTGACTGTTTTTACCGCAGTTGGAAGAATTGTACTTGAGGTATGCTTAAGTCACAAGCTTTTTTTTTTTTTTTTAAGAAACTGTTTTATGTGGGCATTTGAAGAATTAGGAGAATTGTCCTGCTCCCACCCCCAAACACTCACACACAACCCACCACTTAAATTTAGAAACACCAGCCACACACAAAGGTCATTTCCTTGGCTGCTTTGGGACAGTGTAAATGCTAGGAGGCCGGTTTGCAGGAATATTCTGAAGAGCCACTCAGTTACCTAGGATGATTTTCTGCAAAGTGGTAGTGCTAAGACAGTGTGTTTAAACAAGAGCAAAAGGAACAGGTAGGAACAGCACACTTGCAAATGGTTAATGCTGAACTGTTTTTAAGAGTTTTGTACTTTGTTAAAACCAGAATGACAGATTGCTATCATGAGTTTAAGGAAAAGTTTGTAAGGTGCTATTTCTTAAAATGGGTCTTCTAAACTATCATCATGCTTTGTTTCAAATATTTTCTTGTTTCTGCTTATTCGTTTTGCTTCCAAGGTGCTACAGGTGTTTAGGATGCCATTAACTGTTGTGTTTCTGTGACTTTATCTGTCAGAACCTCGTGGGTCCTGTTTACAGCCGGGCAGATGAGTGCTGGGAAACCTCAGCTTAGTCCTCAGGCAGGAGATATCTCTGCTCATTTACTCTTTGGCATTAAGTTCCCACTGCCTGCAGATACTTTAAAACCATGTAGTAGAATGGTCTGCTTATGTCTAGTTACGAAAAGTATGAAGGGTCAAATTATATCTTTTAGGTGTGTGTGTGTGTGTGAAAAGAAGGCTTTCAAAATATGATTTTTGATGACAATCTAGACACCTGCATGGGACTTTTATCAGACTCGTTTTCCAGAAGACAGGGCTCACCCACAGTGTGGTCCGCTGTGTCTTCTCACTTTATTACCAGAGAGCATTTCCTAACCCACAGGCTCTAGCCACACAGGTTTGCGCCCTGTCACCTGAGCACACCATGGGCTCTTCCATCTTGGGGCCATTGTCATTCCTGTTTCATGCAGCAGCAACAGAGTTCTGCCATGCTCAGTAAGTACCTTAAAGCTTCTGCAGGTCCTTCCACTTCCAGACAGAAGCCCTTTTTACTTGTCTTCCCATTCCCAAAATGGTTGTGCCTGCCCAACATGACATCTTTGTTTAATGTGCATTTACTTCACACAACTTCCATGAGATTTTTTTTTTAATCTGTTGGCTATCTAGTGTACTTCTCTAACTAGTCATCTGCTCAAATCTACATTGCTTCTATTTCTTAAAGCAGGGACTGTGCTTCTGAACAAGTGGAACTAATTCAAAAATACCGACTCACTGATCCTTTAACTGTGCATTGAAATGAGAACTTTTTATCAATGCTTGCAGACTTTCCTTGGAACTGTTTTTTAGGTCACATCTTGATGTTAGTAAGGAGGTGTGTTTCATCAAGATGCTGGCTCACTCTCTTTTCAGCTTCACATTTTTTTTTAATTAAAGAATATGCTCTTGTTTTGTAGTCTTGACTAGACAGTGACTGATCTATACTAAGCATGTAGGTGTCATGATCTAGTAAAACAAAAACAAAGAAAAAGCTTTTGTCTAAATTTGAAACTTAGATTTCCTGGAAAATAATTACAAACATTTAGTCTGAGATTTCTTTAGGTTTTCCAGCAATTTTCAATGGGTTTTGGCAGAACTTGGTTCTTCTTTCGGAAGATCATTTTTTTCTACTTCAGTGGTTGGTCATTTATTTTTGATGGGATTTACTTTTTTCTTTCACCTACACCTGATGAAGTGCATGACTGACTCCTTGGCTTACAGTTAAAATTCCATTCCCTGTTTTCTTAGATACAACCTGATGTTGGTAAGAGTGTTCTCATCTTAATAAGTAACCCACTTCCTTTTTGAAACTTTGTGGCTGACTCTGAACAATCTACTTAATTTCGCTAGACCTCAGTTTACTCATCTGCCAACAAGTGCATCAGATGTTTCCTAAGGATCTTTTCAGTTGTAACCTATTACAATTAAGATTTCAGTTAAGACTATGTGTTGCTGTGTGGAGAACAAAGATAAAACACTGCCCATCCTCATCTTCCTGGAGCTCGTTATTGATTTTAGAGTTGACATTTCAACTGATTTTAGGAGGTCTTGCTCCTGTGAGTTCTAGTAAGACTGCCTTCCAGCTTTCTGATAAACACTGGTCTGAATTTCTGCTTGTAACACAATGATTTTTTTCTTAAAGAAGAAACCAATCCTATCTGACCTTGGGAAAGAAAATTAAATCACAGCTGAGGTTGGCAAACACAAATTTAACTTAAATTTGTGTTTCCTTTTACGGTGAATCTTGAACATACTAATGGATGTTATGATTGAAACCTAACAATTAACAAGGCTTTACTTTCTCATAACCCCTTCATCTTTTCCAAACAATATGTTAAAATAATTAGATCCTATTTTAATGAAGATGGAAATAGGTATTGAAAAAGCCAGGTCTTAAAATACCACTCAATTTTGTCTGTTTAATCATCCAAGGACTCATAAAATACTCCAAAAGAATTTTAGAAAGATAACTAGATTTCTTAGTTTTTTTCCTGCAAGATTTATGTTAGGGTAAAACCTGCTGTCCCACGTAAAGTAGAATGGCTGATCAGTCTACTGGGATTAGTTTTCTCATCTTTTATTGAAGAATGGGCTGCTAGGAAGCTGAAGTCCAATTTTGTCTTCCATTTTGCCACTTTCTTTGATTTGTCTATGCTGTTATTATTAACAACTTTGGGATGTTAAGTTGCGTTCCTTTACTCTTGTTTTAGGGAAACCACTTGCAATAGAGGTAATAACATCATCAGAACCAGCTTGTTGGGTTGTAACTGGCAACAGAGAAATGGCTTACCTTCTCTGTATTTTCTTTTTCCATCTGTAAAATGTGGATGACGAAAGCAGTGTCTACCTCAGAGGTTGTTGTGAAAATTAAAAGGATGAAACAGATATTAAATGTGAATTTTGCAGGTGTGCTTAGTCTGTGTCCAAATGGTAACTGCTGTCGTTAATGATCTGTTGCTTCTGGTTTTGTCAATTGTAAATTGTCTTCATTTGTTTTGTAAGTCGGTAAAGGTTAAATAGATGAGTGAACAAGAAAATGACTGATGAGTTTTGTGCTGTTTTACTTAAGGAGTCATCACCAGCATGGTACCAAGGAAGTTTTCCAAGTTGGGGTTTTGGTTGTAAGGCTTGGGAAAATGTAAGGCTAATTTAGTGCCAGTCAAGGTCCTAAACAGGCGCAGAGTACCTCACCTATCTGACTTACTCCATGGATGTAGCCATCCTGTGAGCCAGGTGCTGCCTGGTGTCTCTTTATGGAATCACAAAAATCTTTCTCCAGTTGGGTCGGACCTTGGTCCTTGGTCTCGATTCCCACTATCACTGTCCCCCTCACCCTATATTAACTAAAAAAAGCATCAGTGTGTAACCATCATCCAACTAGGATTGTATGCAGAGGGCCTGGTCTGGGAAACAAGGACCTGGTAACAGAATGTGATCTGAAAGCGGAGATCTCTATATAGATGTTGACACAGGCATGTCTGGATGATGATGGAAGAATTCTGGCCCTCAGTCTTCACATCTGTAAAATGTGTTCAAGGGTGTTTTATGATGGCTGTGGAAGTCAAATGAGATTTTATGACAGATAGTCATAAAAGGTGTTTGATAAGTAGATGCAGCCTAGTTTCTGTGGTTTTGTCCACTGGCCAATGAGTGTGCGATAAACATTAGTATCTTTCTTTCTGTGATCTGTGTGCATATAATGTGATTAGTTGAACTTGTATTCTTCTTATGCTGTTACATTGTGTGAAGTCCATCGTTGCGGCTTAGGCATTTTTAATCAAAAATGGCCTCTAGCCTAGGCTCTCAGGATGAACATTCTGTGCCATATTCTTAAACGTGTTTGATCTAAGGTGTTTATTTTTATCCAGTTCCAGAATGTGCTAGGAAGTAGTAACAGTTGATTTAGTGCTGGATTAGATATTCCTAGTTCAGAAAGAAAATTGCAGAGAAATGTTACAGAAAGCAGCCCTGTGACTTAAAAATATGTAAAAGTAGTAAAAAGATAAATAGCAACATTACGGTGACTA